AATGCGGATACTGCGGATTCAGGTTGAGTGTTTAATGACGTCACGATCATGTGAAGTTGAAACAGAAAAACACTGGTGTTGTCAAGTGGCAAATTACTTGTTGCTATGAGAGAATGTCTGTACACAAACGGTTTTTAAAAATGTGGCGCACAAACGAATATGGTCGATTATTTATGCCTGGAAAACCTTTATCAGAAGACTAAGGTTGTTAACAATAGGAAATATTATTAGCAATAGATGTGATCCCGAAACATGAGTTTTCCTGGAAAATTTGTAGACGTATTCAAGTAGACGTCCCCTTGCGATATTGTCAGCCATTGTATTGAAAATTTCGAACAATGGTTTTCTTGCCTGTGTTAATCTCATTATTTGGGATTTAAAATACTTCGATGATAAATCAATTTCAGGCCGATCTAGTTCTACGATATTCAAACGCATCGACTCTTTGCTTGTTGCAGTTCTTCTACACGCGAGAAAAAATCATTGTATGTTAAAGATAGCAAGTTTTCGTTCCCTATAAATATAGGGGTTATTCAATTGTTACAATAATAATTGTATACAACCTGAATTTCAGGAAGATTATCCATATTTTAGCATTACAGTGTAAATTTTAAACATATATTCAATTCAAAATGTCACCGCTCCCTCATAGCAACAAGTAATTTGCCACTTGACAACACACCCGCATTTTTCTGTTTCAACGTCCACATGATCGTGACGTCATTAAACACTCAACCTGAATCCGCAGTATAAGTTTTTTTGTCCAAAGGTTTGAGACTGTGATAAAGCTATGTGATCAGCGATTATAATGAGCGTGACAACCGGCGTCTATTTCGAATCCTGAGCTGCAAGTTTATTTTCAATTTGTTTTTGTACTGAAGGGTTGCACTTTTTTGTACAGTACAACCTAATGACTCGGTCAATTCCATAGATACCAGTCCCTCCCCTCCCGCATTTGTTGGGCATTCTACTGTACTTGTTCCCAAGGATGTTTCAAAGATTTCGGGTTTTATACATCCCATTGTTTTTAATACCAACCAAATAAGAATTTGTTACAGAATTTTTCACTGCTGTTTGAGATTAATTGCACTTCAGTTAACCAATCACAGGCTAGAGTGGATCGATATATCTCTCCCCCTTCGGACATCCTAAGACATTATTCCTCCCTCCCCCTTCGGACAGCAAAAATTTCCTCCGTGTGTGGGGGGGGG